ACTGCAAGCAGTGAAGGGAAGAGTAGTTCCTCAGAGGAAGATGGCACCAGTGAGAAAGAAGCCATACTCGAAGATCCTCCTGTGGCTGAAGGAAAAGGCTGCAAGGAACTGCTTGATGAAAGCAATGACACATCTATTGAAACTGAAATGGAGCAGGCGACCACAGATGGAAGGAATGAATCTGAGGATGAAGGCACTGACTTTTCAGGATTGGAGGCAGAGGAGAAAGTGAAGAAGCAAGATGACATGCCAAGACAACCAAAATCTATTTTAGCTGAGAGCAGGGAGGAGGATGATGATGTAAGAATTTCAGGATTCCAACTTAAAAGTCTTAAGAATAGGGAAAATGGCAATAATGAAGTAGGCAAGGAAAATATATTAGAAAACGACAAAGTTCAAGATATGTCAAAAGATGCAGATGATAATTCTGACAGCAATGGAGAGAACAGCACTGAAGAGAGCATTGATAAAGGAAAAGAATATGCAACAAAACAAGCACTGCCTAGTTCTGTGAAAACAAAACTCCACGTTTGCCTTCGCAAAGTACTTCAAGGAACTGAACAGGAAGAGAGGGTGAATGATGAAGGCAACACACTGGAAGATAGCCCTTTGGTCTCCAAGCAGCAAATGACGTTGGAAGAGAAATCTGGGAGGTGTGAGACTGCAAAACAAGGTACAATGGTAGGACATATACAGAGGGACAGTTCTTCAGACTGCAGCAAACAGGAGTTAGCAGTGATGATGCTTACAAAGAAATGCTCTTCTCAATCCCAAATCCTTCTCAATCTGAAAAACAAACATAAAAATGCTGAGACCAAACTATTAACAAGCTGTAAACGAAATCCTGTCCAGATGGCTTTGGAAACCACCTCTGACCTGAAAAATGTTGAAAGCATCTGTTCAAAACTCACAACTCTAGAAACCCTCAGTACACAGAAAGAACCCAACATAGCTGAGAGTTTTGGAGAGAAAAGATTAGATCTTTCAAATATTTCAAGCTGCTCCACTATTACAAAAAAATTGTCTGACAAGCAGCTTCTTGGCAAGAAGAAAGTTGGAAAAGTTATTGGAAAAGTTAAACTGGTTTCAGGCCAGACTTTAGAGGTAAAAAAAGGGAAAGCAGAAGGAGTTGTTGCAGAGGCACCTTCTGAAAAAGAAAATGTGCATGATGGGAAAGGATCCAAAGACTTGCATTCCCATTCTGCTTTTAGAAACATCACTTGCTGGCTTGGTCAAAAACCTGCCAAGAAAGCAAACCTGAAAGCTTATTTTTTGAGTGTGGCACGTGCAATTGGTATTTCAAGATGGCTCTTGAAGAAATTTGAGAAGAGGAAAAGGAGCAGTAAACCTTACGGATTCAGAAGTGGAATGGCAATCCAGATTGTAAGCACTGCAGGGTGGGACAGTCAGTCTGGCAAAGCCTTCCCTGGTGCAGTCGGACAGCCAGGGAGGGCTGAGTTGAGTGACAAAGAATTTTCTCCTCCATCAGTGGAGGGGAAAGGTGTTCCTAAAATGGCAGGGGAAGTGAGACATATTGATTTGCCTTCTGGTGATCCTCCTCTTCATGTAACCAGTTCTTTTCCATATTTACATAGCTTGGATGAGGAGAAGAACAATGCTACTGATGCCAAGTTTGCTGTAGTATTCCCCAGAGTCCACAGCATGGTTAAGACAGAGAGCTCCTTATCCAGGGGCTCTGGGAATGGTTATTCCCTAGAAAAACTGACATGTCTATCAGACAAAAAATCTGCGATGCCTATGCAACAGAATTGCAGATTCAAATGTGGCCTTCCCAGATCTTTGATAGATCAAAGCTCTCAGAGAAACAGTGAACGGGGCTTCCTTCTGCATCAAGGAGAGGATCCAATACGTACATCAGATTATTCCAGTGAGGTGGATGTCAAAGAAGGTTCAGGTGTCCTCCAGACTGCAGGGTCCATAGTCATACCTTGTGTTCACTGGTCTCAGCAGCAGTCTCAGGGATGTGATCTTGCGATATGGCTGAACTCTGAATTGCTGCTGCCACGGCTAACCATTGAAAACCTAAGCAAATGGGCTATCTACAAGGACCCACATGTGGCCAACACTCATGTGATGACGGTCTGCAGTGGGAGGCAGAAGACATCACTGACGACATGCTAGAGATGGAATTCATGCAGAAACAGGTACAGGTGGTGTCTCCAGTATTGGAATGAAACTGAACTTCTCCTGATTTTCAGTAATATATCTATGCATTTCAGATGTACATGTGTGAAGATCACCATGTAGAAGCTGAGGAGATCGAAGATCTAACCAGACTGGAGTATGTGTTGTCGGTGGTATTCTGCAGCTAATTAAAGGTCATGGGGGCTTGCTTGTTATCCTTCAAAGCTACTGTTGGCTCAAAACCAAAAATCACATTATAAATCTTTGTCCACCACATGAAAAAATTGAATTAATTTGGTGGCTATCATAGCTGAATAATGGATGCTCCTCAGTAAAGCTAAGTAAAAGGCTGAATTGCACTATTAAAGCTATGGACGTGCAGTGAATCAGATGGGGAGGAGCACTGCTGCAGGGGGTACTCCTGACACTTTTGTGTATAGTGCATACCCAGGCTTTGCTGCACAGAGAGTGCACACTGAATCTCTGCAGTCGCACACTAGAGCGAGCAGCTCATCCTAGTTAGCAGACTTTCTTACAGATGCATCTAGGGAACTCTACCTCTCCTGTCAAATGGTTCCTAGTCTTGAAATGGGATATAAAAAAACCAAATATACTCTATGAATGGGGAGAACAAGATTGAGAGGCTGATGTGACTTTTGTGGTGTTGCAGAGGGACGGAACTGGGAATTTGACATACCCTTCTTGTTGCATGAAGTGGGTACTAAGCCAGGAAGACTTGCACGATGAAAGGCACATTTTTATGTTGTTTGCCTACTGACACTGGTATCTGTGGCTTTAGCAACTCCTGTTGCCTTCAGCTATGGCAGACTCAGGCCCTGCATCTTTAACAGCTCTTGAATCATGGGTTCACTGCTGTTGTTGAAAGAGGAGCACCTAAGACTGCTTCTCATGTCCTACATGTCCTGCACCCTCTACCCTTGCCATCCTGTTAAGAGAAACAACTGTAAAGGCTGTGTGCAAGGAGATGTGATCACATGGAGATGGACAGGCTGGATATTCTGAGCATTGGCTTTTCTCTCTGATGTGTTTAATCCCGGATATGTTGGAACCACGTGAAAGCAGTGAATAGTTTCAGATCCAAGCCTCCTACAAAATCCCTGGGAGAGTAGAAAGGTTAATATTAACACATAGAAGTGAAGCTTATGGCTGACAAGTCCTTTCCTCTGTTCATAGGGAAGTCTGTGAGAGCTCAGTTCTGCTGTGTTTGAAGAAGAGGTTCCATCGCAATCTTATTTATGTATGGGTAGTGATTTTTTGTTTTGTTTTGGGGGGGGGGGTTTGGTTTTCTTCAGTGCTTATTAATTCTGAACAATAAGCTTTAAGAGAATATAATTTCTATCATTCCATCAAGCTTTAATAATGCACCAAGCATCTCAGGATACTCCATTACTGGGAAAAGTGATAAGAAGGATACTTACACTGCTTTTGCTCAGAGAATGGGTAGCATGAAATATTTGTGGTAAAATAGAATTTCTCTTTAATTTTGGTATTTGTTGCCAAGCCATGAGCATACTTTGGTTCAGTTTTAGCCTCAGCTGCTCCTAGTGGAACTCTACTGTCTTGGCAAAGCAATTCTGAGTAAAAATTGTGGCTCTCGAGAATAAACTTCAGAGTTTCTGTGAACATTTCACAGTGTTACAGTCCAGAGCTACTTCTGGATGGCTAGGTGTTCTCTTTTTCATTTACTGGCTCAGGTGTTCAAACCTGTGCCTGTAATTTCATGTGAAGCTCAGAGAATCGACAGTGACCAGTGAAGATAACCATGGATCAGAGAGTTCCCCTTTACCCCTAAATATTAATGACAGAGCTTTGAAAATGACCACTGAAAAATTGTGCTGTGCCCTGAATAAGTTGTCAGTATAGTCAGAATCGACAGTATTCCTTCCAAAGTAATTTTAATCTTTGTATTAATCACAGAATCACAGAAACACTAGGTTGGAAAGGACCTTCAAGATCATCAAGTCCCATTCCTCATTCAGAAAATTCTAAGAAGCCATCAGATTTTTCTGCCTTTCTTATTTTTGTCCTAGACTTACATTGGGCAAATTTTGATTTCTGTGAATCCTTTCAAAGACCTTGGTATTGTAACCAAAGTGGATAAAGTGAAATAAAGAATGCCTGCCTTTTAACACTACATTGGTGTTACGAGGTTTATTCCCGATTTCGGTGACAGTATCTACTCTGAAGATGTGGCTACCCAGTATCACCAAGGGACTCTCTCAAAAAATGCCCCGTATGTTTCTCTTTTTCAAATAACTCCGTAAACTCTGTGCTGTTTGTGCTCTGGAAAGTGTTTTATTTTCCTCCAGTTGTCTGATAGAGCAGGATGAATGTCACAGTTGCTTGGACCTGTAATGCTACAGAGCTAAACTATTTAGGTCAAGTTTTTTGAGCATTGCTTGAAGGTCCTGAATTCAATGCCTGCTGGGACTGTTACATGTCCTGTACCTGAGGAGTTCTGGCAGTATGCGCTCCCCACTGCCAACACTGGTACAACCCCATCAGATCTGGGAACATGGGCAGGTTCCTCTAGTGCAGACAATACTGCTGGTGTCCCTTATAGTAAACACTACGGCACAGGTTAGGATGAAGGGGTCCTGGAGGAACCCGAACTTTGCAATAGCTTGTAACAGTGATATTAAACTAATATCAGCAAAGAACAAAGCTCTTATTTCCCTGGTTCCTCACATTTCTCATATCAAGGTAATGGCCCATCTCTAGTGTAGATCACTGGTGACTAACCTTTTGGTGCTGTGTTTGTGAGGTAGAAACATGAGGTCAGTTAACTGGGGGTTTCTTTCTGTACATCTAGACACATCTTTGCCATAGCAGAAATGGCCTACACGCTATCCCTGTCATCACAGCAAGAGCAGTGTGTCATCATCAGGTAGGAAATAAGGGTGCTTTTCCAAAGCCTTGTTAACTTCTTTATGTAAGGCTTTCATCTTTTTATTTCACTGTCCATGAGTTTAGCATTCTGGCTCTTGTGTGAAGGCTGTCAGTAGAGAACATGATTTTTATTTCACTCTGCACAAATACAGTTTGAATTTAACTTCACATCAGTTTGGAGGAGTGGAAGAGAAGGCGTTTGGCATTTCACAGTGGACTCTTATTTGGGTCTATATTTTGTCAAGTTGTCTCAATGTTTCAAACAGTATGTGACAGATCTTCATTTGTTGTAAATCAGTACAGCTCCACTGATTTACTGTAACAGGTCTTCTGATATGTCTAAATTAGGTAATTTTGTTTTGATGCCCTCTTCCTTACTTCTTGTTCCTCCAGTGGACACAGTGGATCAGGTAAAACAGAAGCTGCCAAAGCAATTGTACAATATCTGACCACGCTGTACCAGAGATCAGACTGTCACAGGATCAGACAGGTAAGTGGCAACTGAGATTGGCTTTATGCTGTGATGGTTAGGCAAGGAGTAAAAGCCAAAGACAGGGTAAAGGGGCCATACTGTTTATGTTATTTCATTGTTCCTGTTTAACTGTGCTGGACTTTGGATGGCTTGTCGTTTGAGGTAAAGCTCCTTTAAAGACAGGAGGGCAGCTGCTGTATTTGTTATTCTGTATTTTAGTACCTGGGAGCCCTGATGCTGTATAGAAAACTGTATCTGTATGAATAGAGGAATGATACCTGCCTTAGAGACCTTATAACAGTGAATCTGAACAAACACAGAGCAGAAGTGAAAGATCATAGCAGTGAAGGTAAAAAGCTCATAGAGCAACTCGCCAGTGGCTAGGAGTAATGATACTAAGATAAATTTAAGTAGAGACTCTTTAGCCAGGCAAGAATTATTTTAGTGAAGTCCCATTTTTTCTTGGATTTTCAACCTAACAGTTACTTAAGTCCGTTTTGGGTTTAAAAGCCCGTGATTGCTACTGAAGTGTTCTCTCCTCCTTTTCTCCAAGCCCTACAATGTCCTACCAATCCTGGAGAGTTTTGGGAATGCCAGAACCATCCTGAATGACAACTCAAGCCGTTTTGGAAAGCTTCTGAATGTCTATCTGCTACAGTGAGTTAAAGGAATGTCTTGGGATGCTGTCCTTCCCAGCTGTATAGGGGTGCTTGTGTGAGAAAAGGTCTAGCAGTGCTTAGAGCTCATGCAATAGCCCTCCCTCCCCTACACTCTTATTATCATCAGGATAGGAAGAGGGTGAGGTGACACCCCTATTTTGGTTTTAGGTTTCTGCCACAAAAGAATAGATCTTCACCTTTCAAGATGGGTGATAAATTAAGAACATAAGAATGGCTGAAGTGGTTGATACCAAGGAGCCATCTAATACAATGTTGTGTCTCTGACACTGGCCACAAGCATTCTCTGAGGCAACAGTAAGAATGGGCCAAATACACAAAATGCTTTTCGCTAACACTCTGTTAGCGCTTAACCATTTGTAGCAGCTCAGGAGTTTTTCTGAGACTCTTGTGGTTTTCCAGTTTCCTTTTGGACTTGTATAAACTTCATGCCTTTGCAACAGTCTTTGGCAAGTGTTCTACAAGTCTAACCAGTTCCCTGAAAAACAACTTTTTTGTTTTGAACTTGCCTCCTTTCTAACTTCTGGTTTACTTTTTTCTTTTCTTTATCTGTTGCCAAGCACTCAGCTGATATTTTCATGGAACTGCCTATCATAACTGTAAGGTCTCAGTCCTAAGCAGCAGTGGTTAACTCGGAGCCTGCTAGTTTATATGTGAAACTGGGATTATTTTGGCCGGTGTGCATCACTTTACATTTATCTACAGTGAATTTCATGTGCCATTTTGGTGCTCATTCAGCATTGTAAGGTCTGTCTGCATTTATTCACAATTGGCCTTCATCCTCACTGCCTTGAATAATTTCATACAACCAGGAAGTTTTGTCACATATCTTTATCTGTCACACTTTATCTCCTCTTTTAGGTCACTTATCAAACCTTGAGTTACGCTCACAGGTCAGAGCACAGACATTTTATGGTAGTCTAGTGGTTGCCTCCCACTGTTAAGAGGATTAGCCATTTACTCCTACCCATGTCAGGACTGTGGTTGCTTGGTTTCCCTGAAAGTCTCACAACTTTGTCAAAACCTTTTGGAAATTCATGTAGATGATATCCCTTAGCTCATTCTTACCTGCAAATTTGTCTTCCTCTTCAAATGACTCCAGGAGGTTTGTGAGGCAGGATCTCCTTTTACAGAAGCCATATTCACTCTTCTCAAATCAATTGTATATATGCAGGTGCTCACTAATTAAGCCCTTCATTACACATCTGCCTAATCTGCATGAGATGCATGACAGGCTTAAAGGCCTATAGGTCCTTGCATGCAGCTTAACTCCAGGCTGCTAGCTGCATGGCCCACTATTGCTGTAGTACTTGAACATCCTGGTTTTGGTCCAGGATCACTTTGTGCAAGATGCAATTAAATTACAAAACAAAAAGGTGATCCCTGTCCCCACAGGTTATCAGCTTGACATGTGAAATGGGTGGCCAAGGTCAGATGGAGGAGTGGTAATGCAACAGCAATCAGATATGGCTGAAGTGAAGGGACATGGCATGTTCCCTGGACTATTTTCAGGACATAGCCTGAAAGTCTAAGTCAAGTCCAAGCTCCTTTGTACTCTGGAGGCTGTTCAGAACCCAAACTTGAATCTATATGTTTCATAGCTGCTTTCTTTGGAATAGTCTGATACAAAACACCAGTGCTGGAAAGCTCCAAAAGTCAGACCAAATTGGTCAGTTCATACCCTTGTTTCTCAGCAACAATTCCCTCTGCTAAACCCTCGGAGAAATGGATCTACAGAAAACCTGTCCCTAGCTTCTGACAGTATCTGTTGTTGCCTTATGCTCAGTGGTGTCGTGGTGGGAACATCCATCTCCCAGTACCTGCTGGAGAAGTCCCGTGTGGTATTTCAGGTGAGGACCAATGAACCCCTCCTTCCTAGAGGGATCCCTCTTTACCTTATTCATATTTAATCTTAAATTTACTGTTAAATAACAGGGATAGGAATAAGTGTGAGAATTGTCTCCATTTCTTCTGTTAGTAAGAAATATGGCTCGTCTGTGTAGCACAAGGTATTCACTTATTTTATTTGAATAAAATAAGAGATTGCTCTTATCTCTGTCTGAAACAGGTTGAATGAAGCCACTTATTAGAGATTACTGGAAGTTAAATCTTCCCTCAACTGATTTTTCCTAATGTCTGGAGTGTAGAAAAGGTCAGATATTAGAGTTGTGTGACAGGGACTGCTCTCAAACAGAATGCTTTTAAGGTGTCAGTGAGAAACCCTGGAACCTTTTCAAATGAAATAGTTCCTGGGTGGCTTCTGGCCTCATCTTGCTGACCTCAGAGTTTCAGTGTCCTGCTCTTTGAGTGTTTGGTTCATGGCAGCATGTATTCTGTAGGATTTTGGAACTGGATATGAGTCAACACTATGAACTGTGTCCTCTGTCAGGCCCATGGTGAGAGGAACTACCATGTGTTTTATGAGCTACTGGCTGGGCTGCCTATGGAGCAGAAAGAGGAGTTGTACTTGCAAGAGGCAGAGTCTTACTTTTACCTGAATCAGGTAAGCGATGTGAGGATGCTCTGCAGCAGCTGATAGCTTGAAATGGCCAAGACTTCTCTTTGGTTAGTGAGGCAACTAGAGTGGTAACTTTGCTTCCCTCCCGATGTGTCCCTCACAGGACTATGCTAAAATGCGCTCTGCTCCTTCTCACACCTGACCTAAAAAGGACTGCCTTTTTCTTTTATGTGATCTTTTTCTCACCTTTCAGGCCCTTTCTGCTCCCAAAGAAAGCCTTTTAAAAAAGTAGTCCTCTTGTAGGCCCACGACTCCACCTTGTGGTGAAGAAATCCTTTTCTCATTGGCTTTCCTTGCATTTGCAATTTATTGTGGGACGGAAAAGAGCAGGGGATTTTTCTTTCCACCTTCGGCAGAACACTTGCTTCATTTGCTGAGTCAATGGGTGGAAATTTTAAACCACTGAAATTTACTGCTGATTACAATCTATTTAAACTGGAAGATTGTTTGCCAGGCTTATGGCAAGCCATCACCTTGGAGCACGGTTTCTTTTGTTTAAGAATGTTTTCCGTACTCAAGGAGTTCACAGCAATAGCAAGATACCTTTCCCATTTCAGCTGTGTGGGTCAGTTTTCCAAGGTGGGCAAACTCTTTACAGTAGCTATGGTCATATGAGGAATCCTTGACGAATGATTGCTATCATCTTTCCTTCAGGCAAGGAATGGACAAGTACCATTAATGACTCAAGGATGAAGGGCAATTAAGGGCCCATCCCTTAATGAGCTGTTGTTCCTAGTTGGCAAAGGTTCTATATTGTAAACTAAATTTTTCAACAGGGTAGCTAACAGGAGTGTCTCAGCTTGCTGCAGAAAAGTGAAAAAGATCAGATTGTGCATAAAGAAGTTATCAGAGACTGACAAAAATCTCTCTTGGATCTTGGTCTTGGCAAGACAAAGCCCAAGGGCTGCCTGGACCTCATTCTTGTCCTCATCTGAATCTGGCTATCAGCTGGAAATTTTTGTCAAGGAATGCCCTTGTACACAAATAGGATTGACTGTGAACTTTAGGGTCACAGCCAGTTGATAGGAGTGTCCTCTTGTAGAGAAAAGCACAAGAAGAATAAGAGTGCCCATGTTGTAGTGAAGCTCTGTGGCAGACGAGTGAGACTGTAACCTAGGATGGCTCTCTAGGTGCACAGAAACCCATTTGCTTTCATACATTGGGTTCTGGTACTATTTGGGGTAGCAACTCTGACATGACTTAGATGGGAGTAGATTCTGGCATCCCCTGCTCTTTCAAGCTGTGCTCCAGCAGTGGGCAAGAGGTAGCTGGGGTGCCTATATTGGAACTGTAATAAAAACTTAGCATGTGTTGGCGAGAAAGATCTTACTCTCAAACCTCCAGAGAGAAAAGAGACTGGTCTGTCATGAATGCTGAGCTCCCACTAGTGGTGTCTTTGGTCTTTTTATTTCAGACTTCTCCAGTCCTTAAAACATTGAACTACTTCTCTGAAGATTGCTGCTGGTGGTTCAGCTCCAGCCTGGGGCAAAAGGGCCTGACAACAATTATCTGTCCCTATTCTCTCAGGGCAGAGCCTGTGACATCCTGGACAAGGAGGACAGTCAGGACTTTCTGGTCTTGGTGCAAGCTCTGGAGGGAATCAGCCTCTTGGATGATCAGCTGACCTCCACCTGGGCTGTCCTGGCTGCCATTCTGCAACTGGGGAATATCTGCTTTACCTCCTATGAGGTAGACTAATCCTTGGCATCTTGGGAATGGGCTATTTGTGCTGAACATTGCTGTTATCCCATGTGATGGGACCAGGGACATTATTCTTGACTGAAGATGATATCCTTTGAAAACTATTCTGTTCTTTTGATATTAGTCACTAGACTGACCTAGGCAAGGACAGAAGATGGGAGGCAACCAAAGGTCATTAGAGCTTGGGTGGCTCTTTGAGGAGCTGAAATGAACCCAGGCGCTGGTGTTTTGTCCAGGCTGTGACCAGCTCTGTGTAGTTGAAGTGCTGTAGAGAACATAAACTCTAGTGGAACATAGTATCCCATCCATAGTTGAATCTTTTGTTCTTCTCCATTATTTAGAAAGAATCCTATGAACATGCAGCCATTGCCAGTGACACGGAGATTCAGACTGTGGCCAATTTGTTGCATGTCTCGGCAGACTTCCTGCAAAGTGCTGTCACTCACCGTGTAACTGTGAGTACCTTTTTGGTGATTTCTCATTCATCCTGAAGCGTGATAGAGCCCAGTTGCTCTGTTAGCAGAAGGGCCACCACCTTAGAAGGTCC